ATGCTGACTTCAGTTTTACCATAAAGTGGAGCACCTTATTAGTTATACTCATTACGGTTGTTGGGGACACTTTAAATGTAGTTCCTATGCTTAACAAAGTATCCTGTGTAGCCATATACCACAAGAATATTAAAATATGGCCATATAAACTCACCAGATGATATCCACCTGTATACTGCCGTGCTTAGCAGAAACGCCGTATATACAAAAAAATTGAAAAATGAGTTTTTTACATATTCTTGCTTGAATTCATGTTTTCTATATATATATATGTAGAACTTAGCAAAAATGCCGTTTGAAGCACCTTAACCATAAAACAACATAACTATTTTGCAGTAACTAACAAAAATTTGGTTGCATGCTCATTAAAACTGCCGTATCTAACATTATTTAGCACAAATGCAACATCTTCCGGTCAGATTCTGCGTTTTTGCTAAGTACATGTGAACTGCCGCGTTCCTCCCAAGTACAAGTCGTGTCTTGACTGTAAATAATTATTATGATGATGCATTAAAAACGTGGTCAGTTGTTTGTTTTGGTTCGTGCGGATTGAAGTGTTTTGTTGAGGGTTGTTTTATTATGTCCAAAAGAACGAAACTAATTTTGGATCTAGCCATGGGTGCTACATACCAAGCTCCAGCTGGTATTTCTGAGTTACCTACACAAACCATTCTATTTGACATAAAAACTCAATTTTTATGATTGTTAGATTGCTAAGGATGCTAATCTTACAAAAGCTGGAACTAAACGCAAAAGAAAAAAATCACCGAGAGTTTGTTAAGCAGGAAAAAGAAAAAAGCCGAATTAATAAAAGCGCTGTCGGTCCTTCGTGTAATAAGGAAAAATGTAAAATTAGATGTTCAGTACTTTTTTCTGAGGATCACAGACGTGAAATCCATAACCAGTTTTGGGAACTATCTCATGCAGAAAGAAGATCATTTGTTTTAAGCTCTTGCGAACGTTTGGAAATTAAGCGTCGAACAACAGAAAATAATGCTGAATCACATGTTAGACATAATGTTTTCAAATACACCTTCAAAGACAGCCTGGGGTAAGAAAACATGTGTGTCAACACTTTTATTTGACCATTCTCGGATACAACCCAACGAATGATCGATTCATTTATGAAGTTCTATCAAAAACGCCAAAAGGAATCATAGTACCGTTAGAAGACTAACGAGGGAAAAGTCGTTCAGCAAACTTTATTCAAAAAATGAGTTAGATGCACATATTGAGTCTTATAATCCAGTTAGTTCACATTACAGACGTGCACATGCACCAAATGTTCGATATCTTCCCAGCGATATAACTGTCAGAAGCATGCATGCTGATTTTTTAGAAACATTTCCTAATATTAAGGTGTCGTATAATATATATAGATGTCAGGTTGAAAAGAAAAATATATCTTTTGCTAGACTTGGCAATGAAGAATGTGAAATTGTGTGAGTATGAAGCTTTATGAGCATAATGAAGATAGTCTTCAACCTGGATGTGAAACCTGCACGATTTGGAAATATCACATTGATATGGCTAAAGAGTCACGAGAAAAGTACCGACAACAAGCGCATGATAATGAAAAAAGTAACTCCTATTTTTCTGCTAACTTAAAGAAAGTGATAATGTTGCCAAGATTAGAGACATTTAAAAGGGTCTTATTTATCCAAAGGCTTTCAGTTTATAATGAGAGCTTCGTTCCACTGGGGAAAAAGAGTCTGGCAAAACCTTTTGCAGTACTGTGGCATGAAGGTATAAGCGGAAGAGACCAAGATGATGTTACAAGTGCATTTTATGCATTTTTTAAAAAACAAGGAGACTTAGAAAAAAACACTGTTAGGCTTGATAACTGCTCAAGCTAAAACAAAAATTGGTGCTTATTAAGTTTCCTTGTTTTCATTATAAATTCAAGTGAAATAAGTGCTGAAGAAATTGTCATTAATTATTTTGAACCAGGGCATACATATACGTATATGTCAGCAGACCATTTTTATCATCAAGAGGAGCTGTCCTTAAAGAAACAAGGAAAAACGTATGATTTTCCAGATTTTGTTAATGCTGTATCCCAAACAAATAAGGGAGCAGTAGAAATCAAAAACATGTCTTTTTCAGATTTCTATTCTTTCAAATCTTTCGTTTCACAACAAAAATTAACGAAACAAATGAATCGAATTTATCTCAAAGACATTGTTCAGATTACCGCTCGCAGAGGGCAATATTATCTTCTTTTCAAAACCTCACATTCGGAATGGGAGCCGAATAATTGTTTAGATTTTCTACCGTTTAAAGCAACCAAGCCCAATGGTATGAAATTTCCGGAGCCGTTACATAAGCCTCGCGGTTTTAATTCAGAAAAAAAGGAAAACATTTTAAAAGTGTTGAATACAATAATGCCTGAAAACAGAAAAGATTTTTGGCGAAATATACCTGCTAGAGCTGATTCCAATTAGTGTTGTTCTTTGGTATTTAGCGCATATCATTATGAATATTTGTATTTTTGTTTTTAGTTTGTAAGAGAATCAAAACAAAAAGTCTGTTTTTAAATATATCGAGAGTATAATTCTATCTGTCACAAATTATTGGAAAGTAATTAGCAGAAACACTTAGCAAAACGCAGTACCGCAATAATCTCAAGCAACATGTGACTTTCATTATACTTCTTGCTTAAGAGAAATGCAGTATCTGGCTTGAAAATAAAACCAGTCATTTTTTTTCTACATTTTTGTGAAAATATGTTTTCTCAATTGAATATACTGGGTTATGACAATAGAAGGCAGCGAAAGTATTTGAACTCTCTTACGGCTCTGAAAAAAAGAAAAAACATGTTTTCCTCCATGCTTCATTTTTTGTAGATGCGGTGTTATCGCTAAGCACGGCAGTATACGGTTTTGCTAATTTCTTTTTTCATCATTTCTGCTGAATCAATAAATGTTTTCTTTGACATGCGGAAAAATTTAGAGAATTGAAAGTTATCATAGCTACAAAGCCATGGTTCCATCATTAAAAAAAAAATCTGAAAAAAACATTTCTCCCATGAATATTATGAAAGGTTTCTTATTTAAACTTTCCATATACAGTTGTAGACGAAAAAGCACCGATTATTAAGTGATAATAAAAATAATCAGAGATTATAATATCTACGCGCTTTTCTAAAATAAACAACTTGCAACAAAACCGCGGTTAAAACCAACGCGTTCAAGCGATTCGTGTAACTGACGTCATCAACCCATATGTCATCTTGAACCATAGTATAACCGCGGCACATAACACAGAAATGTTGGTTATTCGCTTGGATTTGATTAAACATTACTCATTTAGTATGCATTTATGTTCGCACGGAAATCGCGTCGGCTTTCTCGGTATCTCCCTCTTTCAGTCCTTTCGATGGCATTGACAATCTATTTTTGGAATTGAGGTGCCCAAATTTCAGCTTCACGATAGGCTGCATATATCGGCCACGGCCCTGTTTGGGAGACACACACCTGTGCAGTCTCATTTCAGATCTCTTAAATAAAAACACCAACCTTTTCATAGCTGGTGACTTCAATCTACGTGACATTAGCTGGCCTATGTCAACCATTCCTGAATGCAATTCTTCTTCTGCTGCTTACATCGACTTGCTACGCAACTCTAGCATATCTCAACTTGTTGATCGTCCAACGAGATTCAGGGAAGGACAGACGCCTAGGGCTCTGGATTTGATATTCGTTAACGACGCAGACTTTGTTTCTAATTTAGATTATTTGCCACCTTTTGGCAAGTCTGACCATTGTTCACTTTTATCTTCTCTCCAGTTCAATATAAATAGTCGTTCTACAACCGATAAGTTTAAAACCATCAAAATTGTAAACCACGATGCTCTTAACCAAGCCCTGTCTGAAGTCAACTGGCCTGCTTTGCTTAACAACCGTAGCACCCAAGATATGTGGGACACTTTCGCTCAACGAGTCCTAAGCGAAACGGCTGACAATACTGCTGAAAAGAAGGTATACTGTGACCCCTCAAAGCCCTGGATCAACTCTAACATATCGAGGATGCTTCGTCACAAGAGATCTTTGTGGCAACGGTTTAGGAGGAGTGGCCATTCACAAGATTACGTGTCTCATCGATCCTTTTCTAACCTCCTATCTAGAACGTTACATAATGCCAAACATGCTTATGAACGAAAACTCGTTACCTCCAAAAATAAGAAGAAGCTGTTTCGGTATCTAAGAACAAACCTGAATTCCAAAGTTTCATCACCTCAGATCCGCGACGCTGACGGTCATCTCCACATGGATGCCACCGAATCTGCCAACTTACTGGCAGAGTCCTTTAGTGATGACTTCGTCGATGAGCCTAATGGAGACCTTCTACCGACCACTATCTGCCATAGGTGTCCCAACAGCCTTTGCGAAGTTGAGTTCCTGCCTGAAGATGTATTAATGCACCTGCGAAATCTGAAGACCTCTTCCTCCCCTGGTAAAGATGGGATGACGGCTGCTGTACTTAAAAACTGCGCTTCAGCACTGGCCCTACCATTAAGCTTGATATTCACATCGTCTTTTAGATCTCATACCCTACCCTCATGCTGGCTTAGTGCTTCTGTTACTCCTGTATTCAAAAGGGCGACAAATCCTCCGCTAAAAATTATCGACCAATAAGTCTCGTTCCTATCGCTGCCAAAATAGCTGAAAGAATCATATTAGATAAGCTCCAGTCATTTGCTTTCGAAAATGACCTTATCCCTAAGAATCAGCATGGATTTCTCCCTGGTCGATCAATAATGACCAACCTTCTCCACTCTCTCAACGATTGGACTCAGTATCTGGACACCAAGACTCCTGTTGATATAATCTACTTAGATTTTTCTAGGGCTTTCGATCGCGTACCACATAGAAGGCTTCTGTTTAAGTTGGAATGTATGGGAATAAGAGGCGAGTTGTTACTGTGGATTAAGGCTTTTCTCACCGGGAGGACTTTCTCTGTGCGCGTCAGTGATAGCCAGTCTCACCCTCATCATGTAGCAAGTGGAGTTCCTCAAGGCTCTGTCTTGGGGCCAGTGCTGTTCCTTCTGTATACCAGTGACCTGCCCGCATTGATTTCCTCCACATGTTCAGCTTATGCCGACGACACCAAGATTTACAATACTGTCGTAAATTCTGCTATGCTTCAACGAGATCTTGATACTGTTTGTCAATGGTCAGTCAGTTGGCTTTTACCCTTAAATCTAACCAAGTGTTGTGTCCTTCACCTCGGGAAGACAAATCCGCGATTTACATACAAGATCTCTGACCACAACATCGAAGCAGTTTCGAGCCACACTGATCTGGGCGTTGTAGTCAACGATCGTCTTTCCTGGTCAGAGCATATTCACCACGTTACATCAAAGCCAAGAAACTTCTATATATGCTGGAGAGGTCTTTCAAAGGATCCGATGTCAAAACTTGCGCCTACATTTACAAGGCATTCGTGAGGCCAATTCTTGAATTCGCTGGCCCGGTATGGGACACTGTGCTTCTGCGCGATAGAAATCTCGTCGAATCAGTACAGCGTCGGGCTACTCGTATCCCTTTTGGAGCACGAAGACCAAGCTATGAAGATCGCCTTGAATTATTCAAACCTAACCTCATTCTCTGAGCGAAGACTTCGTGGCGATCTTATAGTTACGTTCAGGATACTTCATGGTTTGATGGGCACCAACCTCATGCATCTATACCATCTGTCGCGCAGCAATCTACGCGGACACAGCTTCAAACTGCATAAGGAGCCATTTAAAACAACAGTCCGACAGTGGTTTCTTCCCCACCGCATACTCAACACCTGGAATAGCTTACCTGAAAGTGTGGTTGGTGCTACTTCAGTTAATAGCTTCAAAGTGCAGTATGATAGCTGGAGGAGTGTACAAACTTTATAGCTGTGAACTGTATTTTTTTATTTTTTTCTATTTGATGTATTTGTGTTACGTGTCCGTACACTATATTTACTGCATGAGCTTATAGTACTGTGTACTCTGCTCATCTCAATTATCATAATAATAATAATAATAATAATAATTAATTTAAACTTTATGAAGCTTGTTGTCAAAAGTAATCTGACATTTGGTGTAATAAGAAAACTTTTTAGAAACCACCTCCGAAAAACTTATTTTTCTCGAAAGCTATGAGAGATTGCCTTTTTTATAGGAAACAAAAATGAAGCAAGCAAACGGGTTTTCAAATGAAAAAAAGTCAGTCGTTGGAAATGTTGCGAAAAAATGCTGCTATAGTTTATCTAATGGTGGGGGTAATTTTCGCCCTTCTTGAACCCTTTCATATTTTTTGTAAACATCAAGTCATTTAGCAAAACACATGCGTTCTAAATTTCATTCCCAAATCGGACTATCGTTTCCAAGAATATTTAAAAAAATGTGTTTTGGAAGGAAAAATTTAAAGCCCTGTAACGGACAAATTTTTGCATAGAAGTAAATCATATCCAATCGACTTATTTTGAGTCTAAAAATACATGGTGCTTCCATGACCACAGAATATTGAAACACCCTGCATAACTGAGATAGATGCATCTTATGCTTGCCCGATCTCTTCGTATCATCGGTTGTTGGGTTGCTGTATTATACCAGATATACTGTGATAGCAGCGTACTGTCTTGTGGCCCTTAAGTAAGCCGGGATGCATTTCTAGGATGCATCTTGGGATGCTTCTTGGATGCATAGACACACTCAACGCACACGAACCGTATTGTGGAACGGACCGAACCTATCACTCGAGCTCGCTAATTGGTTTGTTGTAAGGGATGGTAGAGTAGAAGCAGAGGCGGATTTGGCGTCCGTTACCAAATAGAAGCAGCTACTAAGGCCCGTATCGTCAGTCGTCCCTACAATTGTAGGGCGCGTTTATGGCCTCCTTGATTGTCATACCTCTTTCTCTCCTTCAAAATTTCTAGATTACACTTGTCCCGTGTCAGCATCAGCGCTCTCCTATTGTGAAGATATGTTTTCTTTTTAAATTGTAGGAAATTTCAGGCTGATAAAACATGATATAACTCAAAAGCAAGCACAATTTGATGCAAATGGATGTTTGTGACATAACCTCAAAATAGAGTTCTGACACGGAGAAGTAGAACACTATGACAATCAAGGAGGCCATAAAGGCGCCCTACAATTGTAGGGAGGACTGGCGATATGGGCCTTAAAGTCCGACAGTATTCAGAAATGTGTCAAGTATGTCGATCTTCCAACTTAGTAACATACGGATGCAAAGAGCAAGTCAAAAGTGCTGGAAAGAGGCGTATTTTTCGGAACAACTATCAGTGTCTCACAGAAATTTAAATCGCTCCAAAATTGGGCGTGGTGTTCCACTTGATGCCAGTGTGTATGTTCCAATAAACCTAAACTATAAAAAAAATCGAGTGATGTGACATCAAGCAGTTTGGAGTGGCAGTGCACGTCGGTCTGTGTTCACTATTTGTTCATTAACTTCTGAATTATTTAGCACGAATTTATCCGCAACCACTTCAACATCTTCGCGTCTAATATTATCGCGATATAATATCAGAACGAGAAGAAAGACTGCTAGCACGTTTTATGGTGTTCACCAGGTGCAATCTGCAAAAATCTGACCGCTAATCGCAGAAAGTCTACACACACCAGTTTATACGCGTGCACTTGTCAAAGGTGAATGTTGACTCAAATACGAGTATAAAAAGATGCAGTACCACTTAATCCACTTACTCGGCGACAGCCTGTGCCTAATATATTGACATTGGTAGATGAAGAGGTAATATCATCATAGGTGCACTTAGACGTACTTTCTTCAAAAATGTAAAAAGCTAAAATCCATCAACTTTGTGGGGTTATTGTTATTAACAAATGAAATAAAAATCCGTGACATTTATTTTTAGAAAATGCTGGCCATCAGTGCGGGTAAAGTGATTATTTTTGTATTGCAATTTTCGATGCTCAGTGAATTTAATAATAATAATAAACGTCTTCTTGTTAAGTTTAGCTCAAGCTATTTCTCCACTTCGCCCAAAAAATAATAAACACAAACATGAATAAAACACATAAATGACAATAAGACTGATAATATAACAAAAGCTTTATACATATTTAATGTAATTGACCTGATAACTGGATAGATACTATTTTAATTAGCAGAAGTGTAAGATAAGTACTTTTAATTTTGACGACATTCTAAAAGCAAATTCCTGATATGTCTTTAAAGTTATCAAATGTCAAGGATTTAATTTCAGGGGGTAATGAATTATATGGATATTGATCATCAAAAGTGAACCCTTTATGGAAGAATGAAGTTCTGAGAATGGACCATGCGTGTATTTGAGAAGCGGATATCTCTAGAATGAACACATCCAATTTACTAGCATTTCCTTTAATAACGGAGGTAATGAGGCAGGTATTGTAGGAGTTTATGAACATAACCTATTAAGAGATATTTATATAATTTTATAACATTCAACCAACGTAGTTTTTGAAAAGATATCGGAATATGGTCATACATTTCCAAATTTTCTACTAATCTACATCAAGAATTTTGAATTTGTTTGCGAGCGTTTTATAGATACCTAATCTAAAAATGAATGGTAAACAGTATCGCAATATGTAATTTTTGAAACGATCAATGACTCGCATAGACTTTTCTTAGTTTTGTAGTCTAAACTTTGTCTGTTGAATTATAACTGGCGAAATATCGAAAAACAACTTCTAGTAATACGATTTACATGTGGAATGAAATTTAGATAGTCATCAACAAAAATATCTATTTTTTTCAGCTGATTCATGCACTTGAATAATTTCGAAATCCAGAGATATGCTTGAATATCTTTTAATATATTTCTTTAATTCTTTGTGAGAAAGTATGAAAACTTTCGATTTCGTAGGATTTAAACGGAAGATATGGCATTATAACAATTATCAATAGCGTTTAAATACCCATTTATTTCAGACTATAATCTTGTCATTATTGAAATTGAGAATCAATGGCAAAGGTCTATTGCAATATTTTACCACTTTGTCCAGATCAGCTATATAAAGAAGAAGAAGGAGTGGTCCAAGTACTGATCCTTGGGGCACTCCCGAGGATATTAGCATTAGTTAATTTCGAGCGATAACAAGCGGGGAATGGCAATTTCTAATCGCTCGATGGTATCTTCTTAACCATGCAGGCCGAGGCCCAAATGAAAAAGTCTAGACACCTAGGAGGCTAATTCAAGGTCCGTCACGAAAAATTGGCTGCTCGTCTAATTATTGTTGCAATGAAGACATGGTTTCACAGGCTGCGATACAACTAACGTCTCAGATTTTTGTTGTCAAATGTTCTAAATATCATGGGCTTGAGTTCTGGACAGCAAATGATGTTCTGGGATATTACATGACGCAAAAGCGGTAGCCAAATTCCACTCTAAATGTTAGGACGCCTCGTCGAAAACTGGAATAGCAGACTGGACCACATTGACCGCATTAACAGCCGACATTTGAAAAATAATAAAAAAACCTTCTTGATATTAAAGGTAAAGTTGACTATACTTATATTTCAGCATTTTGTAAAATAAATTACCCGCTAATTGATCGCATTTCAAAAAATTGGCATCAAGTAGGTTGGCTCTGCACTTTCCACACAACGCCATCGTCAGTTCATAAAGGACTGAGTTCAGAAAAACTTGAACCTTCTAGCAAAAAATTGGTTACGACCATGTAGAGTAGAGAAATTGGATGGACTAAGTCGGTCAAACAGGCCCATATAATTAGACCATACACATTCTTTCTCTGCCCTAACGTCGCCAGACGTGACAGCGCTCACCGAAGCACCGCAGCAGTACGGCACAGTAATGGCTATGAGCGTACAAATATATTCTTATCAACCGCCCTCTACAACCCTCCACCCCTAATTCTTAACCTTCAAAATGTTTTTCAAAAATGATCTCTGAAACGTTACAAAACAAAGTTTGAGCAATTTTTATTTTTTTCGTTTCTGGCCTTTTTATCCGCCGCCACTGGATCGATTTTCGAAAACAACAAAGCATTTTCGTCCTTGGCGTAGTAGTAACCTTGAGTGAAAAGTTCCTCTAACTCCGACCAGTACTTTCCAAGTAATAGAGGTGCCAAGGATTACCGGACACACCGACAGACAGACCAATGTGAATGAATGGCATAGTTTTTCATGACATACATCTCATATATCATTTAGAAAATATATCATTTTCGAATTTTTTCGCAATTACAATACTTTCTCGCCCAATGTTGTAGGAAGTAAAATGGAATCCATGTTGTCTACAAATCATATTGACTTTTATGAGTCAATAACTGAAGATCGTGAGGTCTAGTTATGATATTTCAATTTATTTTCGACTGCCTCTTGGTCAAATTTCATTAGTGTTTCTGGCAGTTGAAATAAGTCTGTTTCTTTTAATGCTTTTGTACTTTGTGGTTGTTAATCTCGCTATAAATTTTACAAAACTAATCTTAAAGATTGCCATTTCACGACCGTTAACAAGCAAATTTTAACGACCGGAATAAGGTCACTTACATGATTAACCATAGCCAACTATTATGACTAAAACAGAACGCGATAACAAAAAAACAGAATTGTTTAATTAACCGTTGAAAGTGAAATGCGACAGGCTGCTTAATAAATGTTATGCTAAAAACTGTCAGGAATGTTCTTTATCCGAACCCATTGATTACTGCTATACTGTTTACTTTTTCGAAGGATTTATGTAATGGACACACTCCGGGATAATTAGATTTTGGCACAAAAGTTGCCGAACTACTTCGTTATTTTTTTTTCACAAAAACCGCAATTTGAACGGAAAATTGATTCGAAAAGCTGCTAGTGGTTCCATGGAATTACGTGTTCTTAAATACATCTCCTCGGCTACTCCAATT